GACCCTCTGAGCACCCAGGATCTGGGAGAGAACATTCTGCACATCAGGAAGGCCCTTGGAGGTCCTGGGCCATTTCCAGGTAAGACTACTCAGCGTTGCTCTCGCTTTCAAGAAGACAAGGGAGGAGCCCACTCTGGCAACTGGCCAGGAGCCACCGCCTGGGTAGACCTGGCTGCCAGATATTAAGTTGTCTGTGAGGCTGGGGCAAATCCCAGGGCAAGCCACGGTAATTATCAAGCCTGGCTATTCACTGCCTGGGCTCCTCTTAGAGGCTCATCCTAGTCCCAGGGAACTATAAACCAGTTAACAACTCAACTCTAATTAATAAGCTCCTTAATGAAGATACAAATGCCCACATTTTTATCCTTTACAATGTACTTTGGGCTCTTTTTTCTCTTAAATAGCTTAACTGATGTCTCTGCTTCCTCCTTTTTCAAATCCCGCTTTCACATTGGTTTCTGATCTCTAAATAACAGCCACTCTCTGTCTCACTCTTCAAATCCATCTCATTCACTGCCCCCTGCTCTCTGCTCCTTATTTTCCAAGGTGTTTTGTGTGCTCTGTAGAAGACCCATTGCCAAACTGTGAGAAAGGAAAACCCACTCAAGTTTTCAAATAGAAGCTGTGTGATTATCTACATACATGGAAACCAGAAGAAATGCCACAATATTCGAGAAGACAAATACGGTCACTGTCTTTAAGAGAAAATAGGAGAAATGTGACTGGCAACCACCATTGTGCCTCACCGTTCTCCGCTAAGGACAAAACTCTAGCAGGAGCAGTGAGACTAAATGCACGGGGGTCAGACAGGTCAAACATGAATACCTGAAATTCCTCTTCGTCAGAACTTTAAAGTTTATTTAATTTAAAATATGTAACTATTAAGAAAATAAAATATATAACTCTATATATCCATTCACCAATCTTTCCGATATTATGTAAAATTTCAAACATACACAAAAGTAAAGAGAACAATACCATGACTTCCACATACCTTCCCCCAGCTTCACTAAGATTCGGTATGTGACCACACATTTTTCCCCACCACCCAGATTAACATGAAGCACATCTCAGACATATTATCATTGTATGAACTCTTAGTAAGAACTCTTCAAGATCAGGGACCTTGTACTGACAGCTTCTAAGCATTGACCTTAGCATGTAAGCTCTGGAGTGAGACACACCTGGGTCTGTATATATATTAGCCCAGCGCAGTAGCTATGTGATGTTGGTAAAGTAAAGCTAATAGTGTCTACCTCCTCAGGTTATTTGTGAAGAAAAATGAGATAATACAGGGGAACTGTCTGGCCCAGAGTAAACATTCAATAAATATTTTTGTTATCATTACTGTTATATGGGAATTTTATTTTTTTTATTTTTTCTTTAAGTTTGTTATATGGGGATTTTAAAAGAAAGAACTACTTATTTCTCTAAGGCAGTCTGAAGTTTCAACAGATGACTTTTAACCATCATGTTTTAACCACGCTAATATAGATACCTAAACGAGATTTTTCCATATTTCACTTTCACCCCTACACCTCCGATCACAAGCCTCATGCCACTCTGGGGATTTCATGACTGACTGAACTGTACAATAGTTGATGCATGTGGATCCTCCAAGCATCTTCCTCCAGGAAGCCTTCTCTGACTGTTTTTCCCTGAGCCTGAGTGAAGCACTCAACTATACAAAATGGACAGGATGCATTTGCTTATTTACTTTTACTTCACCCTATTCTAAAAGGGCATGGCATAACTTTTGAAAGCATAATAGGATTTTTTTTTTAATTTTTTTTTTTAAAGATTTTATTTATTTATTTGACAGAGAGAGACACAGCGAGAGAGGGGACACAAGCAGGGGGAGTGGCAGAGGGAGAAGCAGGCTTCCCGCAGAGCAGGGAGCCTGATGTGGGGCTCGATCCCAGGACCCTGAGATCATGACCTGAGCCGAAGGCAGATGCTTAATGCCTGAGCCACCCAGGTGCCCCATAATAGGATTTTTTTAATAAATAAATGAGAAATTTGAATGAGGGAAAAATAAAATGAGGAAAAGTAAAATGAACTCAGGGTAAAGACTAAGATTCAAATGCCTGCCACACAATCTTACTAGATGTGGGCCACAAAATTTGGCTCTCAGCTTTCCAGCTACCAAAGCGAGAGACGCACGATCAGTTAAGTAATCCATAGTGACTCTACTTTTGTTCATGTGTTTGTTTTTAAGAACACCTATTTCTGATGCTGTCATCCAAGGAATTTCTTACGTTGGTCTTCACTGAAAGAAGTCATGCAGAATTTAATAAGCAACTTAGAGGGAAGAATCTTGGTTTGAACATCTGCAAAATACCCTATTTACTTCATTTACTAGCAGAACAGGTGCACTGTTTAGGGTCATTTAATTCCCAAAATAGGTAAACACCATGGCAGTGTTTAGGAAGGAAGAAGTAGGAAGCGGGGACCAGAGAACATCAGACAGAGAAAGAAACATTCATACTGAAATGGTCAGTGAGTGCCAATTAAAGGAACCCCAAAAGGTAGGAAGAGGCAGGCGACCACCGGCAGGAAGTCTCCACCCAGGAGAAAGAGCAGACTGTAGAAAAAGCAGAGAAGTTCTTCAAGTCATAGGCAGACATTAAGAGGAAGAGGCACAGTGCCCCAAAACAGAACAGAGAACCATAGAGAAATATTTCCACCAGAGAGGGCTTCAGGGTGTCAAATTCCCTATGATCCCACCCTTCCTTTAAAGGTAAAGGAACTAAGACCCAAAGAGCACAAGCATCTTGCCCAAGGTCACAGAGCTGACACATAGCTAGCACCCTGTGACTCTATTTAACACTTCAGGTGGTGGGGAATGAACAGACTGGGAGGCCTTATACAATGGCCAACTTAGGTGTAGAGCCAGAAACACAAGTGGATGACCAATAAAGCAGTCACTTGGATAAAGTAACGCTTGCTTTCCCAGTTATTAAAACCCCAACCAGCACTGTGACATAGAAACATGTTCACAAGTAACCTAGGAGAATCACGGGGATCACTGGAATGCTTACTGCATATCAGGCAGTCACTAATCATCCTCCTTTGCAGGATCTCACTGAATCCCTGCACCATCCCAGGAGGTAAAATCCATTGCCGTCTACATTTCACAGATAAGAAAACAGCCTCCGCAAGGCTAAAGGATTTCCCCAGGGTCATGTAGATACGGAGTGGGGACGACGGGATTTGAACAGGGGTCCATTTGATTCCAAGATGTGGGTTCATTCCCCAGCCCGAAATAACATTTACCCTTCGATTCCAGTGAGCAAGAACAAAGGAGATGAGCATTTACCCAGCACCAGAACTGATTCATTCAACTCTAAGCGCTCCCCATAAAATGGAAAAGGCAGAACCAGGCTGTGTGATGCAAATGACCCTGCAGCAAATGCACTCCAGGTCAGGCCTGTAATTCATGTCCACGGTGCTCACTCTGTCTAACAGAGGGAATCTCCACCCCTGTGTGTATATACAGTGAAGAGAGCCCTTGGGGAAGCCGATGCCTTCCTGGTCTGCCCACAGCAGGAGCTCTGACCCAGGGCTCTATGCCCTGAGTGGTAAATGTACTTGCCTTGAGCTTCGCCTCTGCCCTGAGGGCAGTTCTTCTTGGACTTCAGTGCAGTTCCTATTTCACAAATCAGAGCTTAAACCTTCATAAGAGAGTATTGATTTGTGCTATCAAAGCAGTGAGATTCTAGAGTGGGGAGCTCGAGGGAGTCTGGTCTTTTTAATCAATATTTTCTTACTCATCAAAGCAGATGTCTGATTCAGATTTTGATTTTCAGCCAGACTCCGGGACTGAGAATCAGTGTGCTGATGATGTAGTCTTTACTGGGCAACAAAAATCTGTCTCTCTCTCTCTCTGTGTCTCTGTCTCTGTCTCTGTCTCTCTCTCTCTCTCCTTCACCCTCTCTTTCCTCTGGTGTCTTTCCCAGCCTTGATGTTCGAATTCAAGCCCTGCCGACTTTCAGGGCAGAGGGGGATCCAGAGGATAACCTCCAACCCAGAGCCAAAGCTAGCCAGCCGCCCGGGGTTCCCTTGCTCTGGGATGCATTATCATCATCCCAGCAGATCATTTCTGCCCTAATGGGCTGCTTAGTCATCCTTTTCAGACGGAAGCCCTTAAGATTTAAAGATCTGAGCAGGTAAAGAGCAGCGAAGAAGATCCACAAACTTGTCAAAGGATAATTCACGAGGGGCGCCTGGGTGGCTCAGTCGGTCAGCATCTGCCTTCGGCTCAGGTCATGGTCCCAGGGTCCTGGGATCGAGCCCCGCATCGGGCTCCCTGCTCAGCAGGAAGCCTGCTTCTCCCTCTCCCACTCCCCCTGCTTGTGTTCCCTCTCTCGTTGTCTCTCTCTCTGTCAAATAAATAAATAAAAATCTTAAAAAAAAAAAAAAAAAGGATAATTCATGAGTCATGGCCCAAATGCCCTCCTGGGAGTGATCTTAACCCAACATCCCTCGCAGACCTCCTGCCACTTAGGCAGCACTGCACGATGCACAGAGCACAGGATTTACAGCCGTCCAGACCTTGTGCGGATCTTCAGCTCAGCCCACTTACTGAAACTGTGACTTTGGGTGAATAATTGAACTCCAGGCCCGTTTTCCTCATCCTTTAGATGCTGAGAGTAATCAGTACCTCAAGCAGTTGGTATAGAAGGGAAATTAGAAAGCATAAATAAATAAACTAAGTGCTTCTCATAATCACATAATCATAATCCTACCATCATAATCATTGGCACATAGTAGGTTCTCAATAAATGTGAGTCCTTCCATCTTTCTCTCTCAATACCCCCACTCACTCTTTCTCTTTCTCTTGGTCCATTTTTCTGCCCTCTTTCCACTGATCTACCTCACGCTCTCCTTCTCACCATCCCCCCTAACTGGACTTCACACCATAAACTGTCAGCACCAGAAGGATCTAAGGGAGTCATCCCTTCAAGCTGAATGACATGCCCCACATCCCAGCTACTCACCAGCACAGCCACGGGCAGCGCTCAGCCTTCTGACTCACACCGTCTAACGGCCTCATCCTTTTCTCTTTTCAGATTTGAAATTCTTGAAAGTGGCAGCTTCCTGGCCGTTTCAGTAAATTTTCCAGAGAACAACCCCCAAGAGCAGCACAAAAGGCATTGGTGGGATGTGTCTGAAAAGAATTTGTTTCACTGATATTAAAAACAAAAATAACTAAAACATTTCTCACTTAAAACTCTGATATGATGGCTCATCTCAGTTAAACTGTTTCAAATCTAACACACATTTTTTTATAAATGTAAGCTTTGGGGTGTCCTTCCTCTCCTGTCTAACATCACTAGCATGCTAAAGCCAGCTCGTATTGACCTGGAAGAACCAGTTATTAGCATCTCTCTCCAGTTCTGCATTCAGTATCACCGCATTGGTGGCTTTAAATTGAAATGGTGGGAATATTTACACCACAGAAATTGACAACCACTACAATTAGGCTGGGTTTTTTGTTTTGTTTTTTGTTTTGTTTCTTCAAGAGAACCAATTGTGAAACACTTACCAGCACACTATTAATAGGTTCTCATGACTTGAGCACTGATTCTTAGACAGCACCCCCTTTGCTTTAAGGAACATTTAAGTTTAATTTTGCAATAACGATTTTGTATAGTAATTCTACCTGTGTGCACATGGTCGTGAGTTTAGGTCTTCAGAAGTCTATGTTTCTCTAAAACACCGATATTTCTTATCTATCACTGGCTGGTCATGCCAGAGGCTCTATTAACAATCAATCATATAAATTTGTTCTGCCTTAGTTCTGTAAAGATGAAGGTACCTGCTGGGCCGCGGGCACATCAGCCTATTGATTCAAATAGAGAGTGTAAGATTGTGAGGGTTTTGTCCCCAAGAATCTCTGCAAGCTGCTACTGGCATCATTGAGCATTTCATTGTTCATGCCCACATTCAGATAGAGCTCATTTTCTCCAAATATTATACTGTGCTAGCAGCCAAGAGGCCATACACTGGGCTCTGAAGCCAGACTATCTGGGATTGAATCCTAGCTCCCCCACTTACTAGAAATCTCCTTAACCTCTCAGGCTTCAGTTGTAAAACAGGGGTAATAACAGTACCACCTCCCTGAGTGTCACAAGGGATTCAATGAGTAAGGGATATCAGATGCTTAGAACAGTGACTGGTATACAGCAAGTGCTAAATAAATGTTCACTATGAGGAAAGAATGGAGATAGAACATTTATTGCAAGGTAAGATATTCAAGTACCAGACTTTAGCTGGGTGGCTGGGGATGAGGTTGGAAAGAACCTTTAGGGGAAAGGTTTAGACTCTTGCTGCTGGAAGCCTAAATCAGTAATGGAGGGGCTCCCAGAAGCTCTGTGTTAGGAGGTCCTCCTGTCCTTACTCCTCTTTCCCACTGACAAATCAGGGATCTGCCACAGCCAGAGAGAATGGAGCTTCCCTTCCTCTTCTGGGACAAGAGTTCATAGTCTTAGTCCTTAGGATGGACTTGAAGGGTGATGTCCATCTGTAGACACCACTACAGGTTATGACACAGTAGATGGCCTGTGGGTTAGATACAATTCCTGTCTAAAAGCCCCCACTTCCCTACTCTTGTGACCCTTGCAGAAGGCACGGTGGGAGATTCACAGTAGTTAAAGGATTCACCTCTATTGTAGTCATCCGGCTATTCCCCAAAATTCTAATTCTTCTCCTTCTAAGACATGGTGGGATCACACTTCCCCTCTTCTTCTAGTTAGGCCAGTCTCTATATCTCATTTTGGACAATGAAATGTGAACAGAAGTGATATGTCTCCTTCAAACTTCAAGAACCAATGAGTGATTTGTCCTTTTCCTTCTGCCTGCCATGGTGACTAGAAACACTCCATAAGATAACTTTCCATCAATTTTCATGCCTGAGTGAGAATAATCCACAGCAGAGTCCCAAGATTACCCACAATAGATATACAGTAAGAACAAGATAAAATTTCATTATCTGAAGCAACTAAGACTTTGGGGGTTGTTTGTTACTGCACAGGGCCTATCCTATCCTGACTGATACAACCTTAATTCCACTCTAATTTATACTTTAAAATATTAATAAGGTCTTTGCAAACTTCTTTCATTTATTATTGGTAACAAATTCATTGTGATAACAGATCTCAAAAAAACAATAAAGTTTACAATCACTAATTTACAGAAATAAAATGTATTATCTACAAGTTTCGTGTTGAGGTTTTGCTATAAATTCCATTTATTTGGCAAGTTCATTAATCTTTGTTTTCTTTGTCCTTTACTGGACAAGGTGATCCATTTAACCTTAAAATTTCTATACTTTTATTCTGTTAAAGATGCATGCCTGAAAGAAATCAAACACACATCCTGTGAAGGCTGAACAAAGGAGAACTCTATAGAGGAAATTCAGTGGCAAAAGAAGAGCAGCTGCATCAGCAATGGCTGCCACCTTCCTCCTGAAAAGTCTCTTCCCTTGCATTATCCTTGTCTTTATCCCAAAACAACCACTCCAGTTCCCAAGGGTTCAAGTCCCCCCATCGGGGATTTTTTCTTGGGCCTACACCTTTTTTTCCTCAACAGAACTGATACAAACTGCATTTTCAAAATAAATTTTCACAAAGAAAGATTCTTAAAAAGTAAGTGAAAATAGGGGTGCCTGGGTGGCTCAGTCAGTTAAGCATCCGACTCTTAATTTCGGTTCAGGTCATGATCTCTGGGTCATGAGAGTGAGCCCCGCATGGAGCTGGGGAGACTGAGCCCCCCAGCGTGGAGCCTGCTTAAGATTCTCTCTCTCCCTCTCCCCCACTGCCCACTCTCTCCCTCTCTAAAACAAATAAATAAATAAACAAAAATAAAAAGTAAATGAAAATACAGTGTATACGTAAAATACAAACAGAATATAACTAACGAAATTTTTTGGTGGGTTTTTTGTTTTTTGTTTTTTGTTTTTAAATGCTCAGAGAATCACCACCACAAGTCATTAGCCTTTGGCTCTAGTTTAGCCGGCAGCGTTCACAGGCCCCTTGTTGAACTTAATTCTAGTTCTGGCTTCCTCACAGGGAGAACCATCCCATCTCTTACTACATGACCACAACCTAATAAATATCTTCCTACAATCAAGGACAAATGCCAGAACCACTTTCCTTGAATCAAATGTCTTTGGCCCTCTAACATTCTCCCCTTCAGACTTGATTTTTCTGATTCAGGGACACCACACTTACAATCCATTTGCAGGAGAGTGGGGAGAGGCATCCTTAACCGCACTGATGGATCTTGCCCTTCCAAACTCAGGTTAATAGCATTGTCCATCTCTATAACTTACCATGTCACCCACGCAGTGCAATAAAAACACATACACATGCACACCATATATGCTCATCACACTGAAGAAAACGATTTTGTCTAATCAATATAATTTTTCCAATATTGAATCAACATATATATTTACAGTTACTGTATTTTGATTTATTGTCTCAGTTAAGAATATGAGCTTTGAGCAAATATACAGGGCTTAAGTCTCTGCCCCAGCACTTCATGGCTTGGGATCCTCAGGCAATTACTTAATCTCTCTAAACATCAGCTTCCTCAAGTGTAGACGAAAAATAATATAGTACCTATGTCATAAGACTGATGTGAGCTAATGAGCACAGAATGAGGGCATGTACATCAAGCAGTTTAGCACAGTGCCTAGAACATACGAAGTACCCGGCAACTTTTCGCTAGTGGTGGTAGTAACAGTAACAACATTACGATCTTAAATAAAATGAGGAGGATCATTGTCTCATATTCCATAATCCCCATATTTCTATTGTAGCTTCCCTAAATCTTCAGCTTTTTTCTAGTAAATGCCTGACAGAGTGATTTTTAAGTTCTTTAGAAATTCAAAGCACTTAAGTAATTATCACCGATTCTGCAATATTGTCCACATCATAGACAAGACATTACCTATGCCCCAGTGCTCCAGAACTATTCAAATATGCTGATCCAACGGTGATGCTACCCTGGCATCTTCACAGAGTAAAAGGCTTCCCTTATTTTCTGCCAAGCCACACCATCCACTTGCTTGAAACTCATCCAGATTCGGTCCTGCATTAGGAAACACATAAGTGCCCCCAAGAGAATTCAAACACTTAAGCAAGGCACTGAGCAATTAAACTTTGTGGACTACTTTAGAAACAGAAAAAGGAAAGGAAAGGAGAGGAGTCATAGATAGGGAAAGAGAGAAAGGAGAAGCAAATTTAAGTGGCTCAGCTGGGTTTGGGGGAGATAGGAATGTGTCTACTCATTATGTGCTTCCGTTGGAAGGAAGTCAAATGTTTTCACTGAAAAGCAAGCAGAAAGCTTTCATGATTTAGTACACAGGAAAACTCATAAATTAAGGCAAAGAAGCTCCCAATGTAAACAGGTGCAATCACATCCTACATATCACAGCTGTCATAAATCTGAGCTGGTCTGACTGCAAGAGGCAGGCGGCATGACAACTTTTGGGTCTTCCTGGCCTAAAAGCTCTACTTCAAAGATCACATTTCCTGTTTGGCTCTCTTCTATTCTGATCTAACCTGGAAGCCTCTGAACAGGGAATTGGATTGAACTTCCTCTTTGATGATTGGCTCATCCCCCAAAGATTCCTATCCCTGGCCCAGAAGCAGGGCCCCAAGAAAGGTCCCTGGTCTTACATCTGCTGCATCTGATATACGGGCAGTAGGTCAGATAAGCAGACCAAACAAGCTCTTCAAGGCAACAAGTATCTGAGCATTTGCCAAGTGCTAAGCACTGTGGAAAATACATAGCTCCTGCTTTCCAGAGACCCACAGTCCAGCCACTCATGGGGAGGAAATTCCCCTCTTCACGCCCCAGGGCAGTCTCATGACTTCACTCTAAGTCCAGTCCATTCTAACCTGCACTGACTTGCATCTCTTTCTTGGGAACCAGAAAAGAATTTCCCTATTTAATTAAACACTAGGGTACAAGGGAACAAATTTAGTCATAGCCTAGAAATAAACCAACCAACCAAATCAGACTTCAAAAGAGGTAGATCCAGTAAGAAAGACACAGCTTCTTGACACAAGTTCAACTACAGCTCAAAATAGCAAAAACCATTTACTGAGAGGAAATGAGTACCAGTGATGGTGATCCTTTTTCTTATCAAAGTATCTTGTGCTTAAAGAATAAAAAGCTTACCTAAAGCCCAGCTAGGAGCCAGTGGGGTCCAGAAAAGAAAGGTGTGCAAAATCATAGGACTCTCATTGCCACCCTCCAGAAAGATCCATGTGTGCCCCCAAGCCTAAACAAGAGAAGAAAGGCCAACAGAAAGCCTTCAAATTAAAGAACCTGAGTCACTTTTGAAAATCTGCCCCAATAATTCATTCTGATGGTCATCTATAACTCTCTAAGAAATGTTTATATCCCATGTGCCTGGGACTTTAGGGCACCATTTGAAGATGCTTTTCATTATAGTATGGAACATTTTCCCTTTTGTGCAGTGGCATCCTTCTGATGTACTGAGATGGTCTCTAAAATTCTGATGAGGTGGTCTCTAAATTCTGATTTTCCTGAGACCTCCAGGAAAATCCACAGATGAGGTTTGGAACTGTCTTCTGAAATAATTAGGTCTTTCCTAGTCAACCATCAGCTACCATGAACCTAACTAACTAGAAAACTAATCAGAAGTGACCCAAACAACATCTTTCTCTTTGGGCTTGCAGTGAAATTCTTCAAGATCACTAACGATAAGAGCTAACATTCACTGAATATTTACCATGTCCCAGGGGTAAATTAAAGCAAAGTGTGGTTAAGCAACTTACAAGCTATGTGTAGCTTAGTGAAGTTTGGACAAGGGTTTAAACGTGGCTGGAAAATGGACCGAGCGTGCAGACCCAGCTGTCGAGCTTTTATACTGAGCCATGCACTCCAGGCTACACCCGCATAAACTGAATGACCATCATCAGCTGTCACGGTAGGCTTCTGTCAACCATTTTCTTTTATTCTGAGAGTTCACTACAGTCTAGTTAAAGATTAAAAGCCTGTCAAGCCTGCAATGATGATGTTTTTTCCGTTTTAAATGTTTATAAAGATAGGGCAATAACACACGAGAATCTGGCTCGGTTTTCCCGTAGCATTGATTCCCATCTCTTTCTACATATCAAAATCATGTAGAGGCATTTAAAAAAGAAAAAAAAAGACTGATGTCCAGGAAATGAGCTCACAGATTCTGATTAAATGAGTCTGGGGTGGGTGGGTCCTAAGAATCTGTAAGTTTTTAAACATTTTCCAGGGGAGTCTAATGTGCAGCCAGGATGAGAAGAGCTTCACATTATAGGATGGAAAACCATGTTCCTCTGAACACAGAGGGAACTGTCAACTCCTTGATCCCCATTTAATCTCTTTCACCACTTCCCCCTCCAGTCAGTTCAGTACCCTGCTGCCAGATGGATCTGCTCAGACTTTATCATTCCTCTACTCTGAATCCATCTATAATCCCCACAGCATCAAAAACTACATTCCACATCCTTGCCCATGTCAAAGGTTCTCTACACTGTGACCCAAACCCATCATTCATCGTCATATCCATATCCCTAGGTGATCTTTCCACTCCTGCTAAATTGGTCTGCCCCCGAAACCCCGGCTTCTTATTCTCTGATGCAAAGCAATTCAGCTTTGCTTGCCCTATCCCTCACTCACTATCAGGTCCACCTTGTACACCAAGGAATTTTGATTACTCACTCCTCCTTTCTTTCTTTTGCCAGGATCCCCTCTCCTTAAGAGTCCTTGAACTGCCCAAAAGGCTGGCAGTCACTTTTTCCTCTGGCTCAGGAACTTCTCCAGATCTTGCCCTCCTTAGGGAGCCTTAGACCCCTCTGTCATTGTCTCTCCTTTGTTCTTGAATCCCTTGGTTCGGCACCCAGCTCCGTCTTCTAGGACAGTGCCCCTCGGTTCAGTCATTCTCCCTTGTTTCTAAACACAGCCAACATGGGCAAGAAGGGCCAGAGCCCTGCCGCTCACAAGAGGGACATATCAGGAAAAGCTCCATGAGGGCAGGGGTCTTTGTCTGTTGTGTTCATTTAGGTGTCCCTAAAACAGTACCTAGAACATAGAAGGCATAGCAGTAAATATCTGGTGAATGAATAAATGAATGAATGAGGACATCCATCATGACCTAACCTGATGATGATGAATCATTTCCACTTTGTAAAGCAAATCCACTTGTGTTGGGGGGAAGATCCCTTATTTCCACTTAAAACTATCTATCATGTGATTAATTATTTAACACACTCATACTAACCAGAACCCTGATTAATGCTACACAGCATTTGTATTACCCTTTGTGCTTTTCAGTGCATTGTCCCATTTATTATCTCAGTCCATCCTCATAATAATCTCATTTCCCTTTCACAGATGAGAAATGAGGCAGAAAGGTAGCAGGACTTGATCACAGTCACAGAGCTAGTTGAGAGCAGAGTCAGGATGGAAATCGGGACTCCACCTGCCGTCCCAGGCTCGCTCTCCTCCTGCCACTGCTGCAGCAGTGCTGGTGTCCCACTTTACCGAACACACAGTGACACACATCCCCACTGACGTCCTCACAAACCTGCTGTACTGGTCAGGGTTCTCCAGAGAAACAGAAACAATGGGGTAGAGAGAGGGATAGATGGGTAGGAAGAGATTTATTCTGAAGGACTGGCGCACCTGATTCTGGAGGTTGAGAAGTCCCATGATCTGCCATCTGTAAGGTGGAGGGAGACCCAGGACAACAAGTGATACCATTTCAGTCCAAACCCAAAGGCCTGAGAACCAGGGGAGCCATTGGTGTAAGTCCTGGTCCGAGCAGAAAGCCTCACAACCGGGAGATTCAACGTCTGAGGGCAGGAGAAGACAGATGCCCAGCTGAAGCAGAGAGCAAAGTTTCCCTCTTTCCATCTTCTTGTTCCATTCAGGCCCTCAATGGATTGACGATGCCCACCCATATTGGGGAGGGCATCTTCTTTATCACTCAGGCTACCAATTCAAATGCTAATCTTTTCTAGAAACACCCTCATAGACAGGACAACAGATATCTTACCAGCGATCTGGGCACCCTGTGACCCAGTCAACTTGACACAGAAAATTAGCCATCACATCTGAAGGGATTGTGCAGATGTTGATGAGTTTCATTCAGAGAACAAATGTAAAACTTAGGTAACAGGTACTTTGTCTCTATACATTTGGGGTGTTCACAAACAAATTCCTATCAAATTAGGATAAGGGCGGAAAGCTATTATTACTGAAAACCACAACAGCCCCTCAAGGAGAGAGGACCCTGGTAAAAGAAAGGAGTGAGGAGTCACAGTCCTCTTATGTACCAAGGCGGATCCAATGGTGAGTTAGAAAGGGTTAGCAAGCTCTGAACTGCTTTGTCAGGAATCTGAAGGCAGCTTCACTGAGAGGTTCTGGCTCACGGAGCCCCACGAGAGCGCAGTAAACTACCAGCAGGAGCTGTGTTTATCTCAAGGCCCAACCGGAGCTGAGAAATCCACCTCCAAGCTCACTGCCACAGTCTTTGCCAGGCCTCAGCTCCCCACAGGCTGTTGACCCGAGGCCCCAGTTCCCAGGCACGCAGTCCTGCTGATCAGGCTGTGCACAACACATCAAACAACTAGACCCAGAGATGGGAGAGAGGAGATAAGGAGAGGCATGTAAGGTGGGAGGCTCGAACTGAAGGAGGTACTCATGAGATCTCCCCCAGTTGGGACCAACAGAGCGCCCATGTCAGAAGCTGCCGTCTTTTTTTTATAACTTCTTCTTGAAAAGGCAGTATGTCTTAGCGTGTCTTAGTGTGCTAAGCTGCCATCACAAAATACCATCACCTCTGCTGCAGGCTGCTGTCCGCACAGACCAGCTCTGGTACAACGGGTGAGGGCTCTCTACGAGGGGTGAATTCCAGGAGGTGGGCAGCATTGGGACTATCTTGGAGACTGGCTACCACCGAAGTTACTCAGTCTTCAGATCACGTACCTGCGGGTTCATTTCCAAAGTCCCACCTGGATTAGATCAGACGGGTGTGCATTACTAGGAATTCAGCTAAATGGGCTCTGTCTTTACAATAGCCT